AGGCACCCCTATAGCTGCTGCTTCAAGATGTTAGTTCACAGGAAGACAACTCTGCAGCTGTTCATTTTCTGAAAGCAAGTTTGTGGTCGGTCAAAGCTGTGGTGAACCATTCATTGGCTGACAGCTGAAGTGTATCCCCAGGCTAGGATCTCAGAGGTACACACAGCAGCATTCATAAAGCTGAAGAAAGGGAAGCACTTGACAATTCAATATTTTCCTAGGGGGTGAACAGCCAACATTCACATCTCTTGCCCTAATCCCAAGCAGCATCTGGAATCCAGTTTTGCCATTTCTAAGATCAGCTCTCTGGAGGCTAACCACACATGCTGTTCTCTCTTTTTGGTTCAGGCAGTATGTAATTGATGATACACAGAACAGCAACCTCAGCAACACAGACACTCACTCCAGTGTACTCCTTAACTCATCCTCAAGGTACTTTGCTGAAATCTGGAAGCCCACATCCCATCCCATGCTCTGAAGCAGGCAGTGAGGCATTTGAAACTGGGTTTTCTTAAATCGCTCAAGAACATGCTATTTCTAGATAGAAGCACAAAGTTAATGCCACCACATTCCTCTTATGTGGCTGTATGAATGGTTTCTAAACCCTCTTTTAAAATACACTGTAATTTCAAGATGTCTTCAGCTCTTTTGTATAGCTGAAACAGCATTTTGGCTCAGATCAAGTAAAATGTTTTAGACAACAGGAATTTAAGAAACAGTGCACTTTCCAACTGCGATTAGCAGCCACTCACTTAAAGCTTCCTCAATGGGAGGACAGCACTGTGGATGCCGAAAGTTTACAGAGCTTACAAGAGAACTGAGTAACTTCACAAGGAAAAAATTCTCTAAGGGCTAAGACACCCGTTCTGGCTCCCAGGGTTCCTGAGCCATAGACTGTTGAAGGCTGAGAAATTATTCTGGAAGTAATTACATACTTTATCCTGTTCTTTTTCCCCTCCTCTGCATATTCACTATTAGCCTTTGCCACAGATGGAGCCAGCCAGGGTATCACATAAAATGCAGAACAACTATCTTTATGCTTCTGTAAAGAATAACCTAAAATGCTCCCAGAAACTCTACACACCAAACAGTCTGACTAGAAAAAGTGACAGACAACCCTCATGCCTCTGGAACTGTAACATTCCTACTGTGGAGATCATCTTTGTATCAATCTCAGCACATTAGGAAACAAGAAGAGAGCAGATGTCACCCCATTTACGTATCACCCAGTAATCATATTTGTAAACACAGACTTACTTGTTTTTTTCTTTTGCCAAAATGTTACTATGTCTTTGTGCAACTCTTTTGCTTTTTTTCTGGCAAGAGCTGCAGAAGCCTGAAAGAAAAGCATAGTATGAAAACCTATTAGCATCACAACACCAAAACATGCCAGAGAAACATTTACCAGTTTCCATAAACTTCTGGTTACTGCATTTTAACCTCTCACTTCAGACCTACACACAACTAGCAGGACTGGGCAGGTTTCCACAAAAATCGCTGCTTTTCACTACAGCCAGCTTAGAGCACTGAGACCAAAGGTGTGCTTTTAAGCATAAAGCAGAAACAGAACGTGCAGTCTCTGAACTGGCTCCTCAACACACCTCAGCGCTGACCTAACGGCAGTATTTCCAGCAAGCAGAGCACTCTGCAGAGATCGCACAAGCTCACCTCACCCTTGGTGCTGCCAAGCCTGAGCAAGAATACAGAAGTGTATGTAACTCTGGTTTGGGCGATGTGAGACAACAAACAGGGAAGATTTTTTTGGTATTTGAGCTGGATGCTAAAGCCAGACAGAGCTCCAGCACCTACCACATTTTAGGTGTGGCTCAGTACACTTCTATCCCTGTCCGTAATACAGCGCTCATTATACAAAGCTTTCCCCCGAATGAAAAACGTACTGTCTTGCCAAACAGGGGTGCAGTTCTCACCAGAGCTGGACCCATCCCAAGCCTGCTCTTGTGCCACTTCCGATACTCACATGATCAAAGAAGTGGAGAACGGCCATTTTTTTATTGCGCCTGGTCATGATCCGTCGAACTTTTACAAACTGGCCGAAGTGCTTCTCCAGCACCGTCCTGTCGTTGAGGTAATCGGGGACGTTCTTGCACTGGATGGCGGTCAGCTCGCCGGGCGACAGGCCCCCCAGCCCCTCCGTGCTCTCGCTGCCCCGAGCCCGGCGGGCAGGGGTCGCGGGGACGGCATCTGTGAAGAGAGGGACGCGGCCACCTCAGAAAGGGGGATGACACCCGGCCG